TCCGCTCTCGTCGCGTCTGTACCGCCTGGCGTCGGTGGTCGACCCGGTCTCGGGCGCCGAAGTCTGCGTCGGTCGGCACTGCTTTTTCTGGACGTTTGCAGTCGCCTTTGGGCTCAACGGCCTCGGTCTCTACTGCGCGTACAAGCTGCACCAAGCAACGCGCAAGTCCTAAGCTCAAGTTGAGTGTTTTGCGTCTTGTGCGTGTCGAGTGTTTTAGTTAGCATGCTACTGGTACGAAGACTAGAAAAGGTAGAGGGTCATGATGATGCAGGATGGCCTTGGCTTCCTGAGACGTGCCACAGACTTCGAGTACACGGGCTCGAAGGCTCCTCCTATCTCACTTTTCTAGACCGACAAGTGTGCACACGCACCGAGTTTGTCCGATGCGATGGACGGCTCTGACTAATGGCGTGCAATCGTGGTCAGAGTGATCACCACCGCAGCACGCTGGTGCTTGCATACCGGTAGTAAAATACTCTCCGGCGTGCATGTAAGCTTATTCAAGCCATTGTTCGTACGAATCGTTCGTATTTGATTTGCTTTTCGTCGGCAGCAAGGACACACCTATGGTGGAGGAACCGGTACATGCACTTGCTAGATACACTCCATGTATCAGGCAGGAAGGAGGCTTAGAGCCAACTTCACTCTCTTGCCCACTTCATTTGGCGCCGTACGCCACTTGTGCCATTGGTCATGGCTCTCAATCTGCGGTTACCGGTACATGAGAGCGGTTGCTTGCCCTTGGGTTGTGTCGCGGTGCATGAAGCCATTCTGGCAAGACCATTGGCAATGACCCACGCAATGCCCACGCAATGTCGAGCGTCGAGCAGTCTTCCGGAACGGGCTCGCCTTTGCGTTTCTTGTCAAGGTACCGGCGGAGGTTGCCGCCGTCCATGTACTCGAGCACAACCTTGGGTTGTCACTGTTCAGGCCAGAGACCGCACCAAGCTGCAGCAAGTACGGCGAGTTGCATTTACTCTCCACAATTGAATTTGAGATTGACAACGACGGACGCACACTACGTGACCAGCTGGTTCGTAACACATGTTGAGCGACGAGCATACGAAATATGAAAACCCAAACAAAAAGAGCGCGACCGGAAGAGGTGCTGTCGCCGCGCATTGGTCTCCGCGTTCCTCTGGCGCGTTGTATTGCGCTATGCCCAACTTGCTGTATATTCCGACAAAATACGCTATTTCTACTGCCACACCAAATGGCATTTCCGATTTCATCACCAACAACCATGCCCGCGAAGGTGGTAGAGTCCATGGCCGCCGCCAACGCATGAATGCATGTGCTTCGTAGGACGCTCAATTGTTTGAAGCGGCGCTTGATGGCTGCGTCGATGATGTCATGGCGCTGCTCGACCAAGGCGCCGACGTCACGTGGACCGACGAGGTACTTGATCAGTGTCGTCGACTCTCGAGCTAACGTGTGCATAGGACGGCGCAACGCCGCTGGTTGCGGCCTCCATCATGGGCAACGACGAGGCTGTGGCGGCGCTGCTTGCGGCTGACGCGGCCGTCGACCACGCAAACAACGTACGAACCTTGTCATCCATGGCCCATGTCATCCGTGTGCTGGTAGGATGGCTTTACGGCGTTGATCATGGCCGCGCAGAGCGGCCACCATCCTGTCGTGATGTTGCTCTTGGCCGCCAACGCCGCTGTGGATCTTGCAGACAACGTACGCCGCAGAATGCGCATTTATGTTTCGCGATATTTGTGCGTAGACGGGGGCGACAGCGCTCTTCCTTGCGGCGCAAGAAGGCCATGCCGACGTCGTCGCCAGCCTCTTGGCCGCGCACGCATCAGTTAACCAGCCCATGGAGGTACATGTCAAAATGCACACACGTTTCTCTAAATGCATGGTCTTACAGGACGGGCAACACCCCTCGCTATCGCTGCACAGAATGGCCACTCGGCCATTGTGGTCACGCTCTTGGCAGCCGGCGCCGACGTGAGCCTCGCCATGGACGTACGTCTGCGCTTCGTGCCCAAGATCGATCGCAACGACTGGACTAGAATGGCGTGACCCCCCTTTTTTGGTCGCGCAGAACGGACCGGACGACATCGTCGAGGCGCTTCTCGAGGCCAAGGCGGCCGTCGAGGCGCCCATGCATGTATGCATCCTTGATTTGATGCGGCGTCGACACGCGCGCGGTAGGACGGAGCGACGCCGCTGTTGATTGCAGCGTGCAAAGGTCATGGTTCTGTTGT